AAGGGGACTCTGTCCTCCATCCTGACGATCTTTGCTTTGGCTACTGCTCTGGGTCACAGCGAGTCAGACAAAGAAGTAGAGTCCATAGTGGTACCTTCCCTCACCTTCGCAAGGCTCTTTCCAGCAACCAGATGAATCCCCAAGGACTGAATGTGTCCCATCCTTCTCCACTCCTTCACTGTTCTGCTTGCCCTTGAGAGAGACAGACCTTACAGACCAGGTCCTTCAAAACCGCCACCCACACATCAGTGAAATTAGTCTCTGTGACACCCGGGGAAATGTGCGACCACATTTGATCATCAGTGCAGACAGCCTCCGGCAATCAATCAGACAGTAATAGCAAAACAAAACAAAAACAAACAACAACCACAAAAAAGCAAACCTTGAGGAAAGAGAATTTGAGTTCTATGATTACTAAATGTAGTAATAATGATTAGGCTGTACTGTCCAATTGTCCGTAACAACAACGAGGTCAGAATGGGCACAAAGGAACAGAAACTACGGCTCATTCATAGGACGAAAATAAACCAAGTGAAAATACCTCTGGAAAAGACCGGACGGACCCAATGGTACAGTAAGACAAAGATTTTAAACACTGCCTTAATGAAGCACGAAAAGCTTAACGGAAGATGTGGAGAATATCAGGAAAACAATAATGAACAATACTGAAATATCACAACCCGAGCAGGAAGGCAAAAAAGAAATCCTGGAAATGAGAAGTACAAGGAATGAAGTGAAAAACTGAGTAAAAGGCTCCGGAGGCAGAACGGAGCAAGCAGAAGAATCAACTGGCTTGATACGAGGACAATGCAAGTTGGTGAATCTAAAGAGAGAGCAAAACGATGAAATGTAAGTCCGCATAGAACAGAGGACTTGGTGGAAACTCCCCAAGTTTGATGCAAGAAGTAAATACGAACATCATAGAAGCTGAGTTAAGTCAAAGTAGTCTGAATTCAGCCCAAAACCAAAACACACATCGTAATCAAACTATTGGAAGACAAAGACAAAAGTGTCCTGGAACTGGCAAGAGAGAGGTTAAGGCAGATGAGAGGCAGCAGCTTCCCTTGTGGCGTGAACAGGAGCGAAATATCAGAACACTATTAAGTCTCGTTCAAGTTAGTTACACGCCTACATCAAAAGCATTGCTTTAAGTGTTGTAAAGGATCACACAGAAACACAAAGCAGATCAAGGACTGCCCACAGTGGGAAGAGGGGCACTATGGGAAGAAGGGGCAGGTTTCTTTGGGGGAGTGTAAAACGTCCCATCATCGGATCATGTCCGCATAAGCACAACTGTTAAAACCCACTGACTGACTGTATTGCGAAGAAAGGCTAACATTATGGTACGTGTATTATGTCAACAAAGTTGTTGCCAGTGGGAGATAAGGATGAAGGCATTTTCTGGAAAGAGAACCTGATACAATCTGTCTCCAACAAACTCATGCTAAAGCAAATGCTAGATGAGGCTGGAGAGATGGGTCAGCGGTTAAGAGTGGGCCCTGCTCTTGCGAGTTAGGTTGACAACTGCCTGGGACTCCAGTCCCGGGGTATCTGACACCTCTTCTGGTCTCTAAGGGCACTGCACAAACATGCATATACCACACACACACACATTCACTCACACATAAACACACACACTCACACATGCAAATAATTTTAAAAACAGCTACTAGAGGTAGATTGAGTCAGGAACAGGAAGCAATAATAACGTGGGGAGATCCGGGCATGATAAGGAGGTGGCAGGCTGGATTCCAACCAGAGCCCCCAACACAAACAGCTGAAGTCCACACCTCGGTCCTGCTCTCCCCACCCCAGACGCCCACGTCCTTCCGGGCCAGCACCTTTGCAGATGTTAACACTCTGATGCGATACCGCGTTCCCTGTCTCCAGCTACCCAGTGTTCTCACTGACCGTCCTCATCCTTCAGACTTCAGCCGTGAATACCTTGGAGGGCTCACAGGCTCCTGGGGGTGAACCAGTATCCCCTTCAACAGGCAGCGAGAGCCCCTGCCCCTTCCACCCACAAGGCGGAGCTGCGGGACACTCGTGCGCGGGTGTGAGATTATTCCACCTGGAGCCTGCTCGCAGCTGCACACGTGCTCCCATGGCCCTTATACTTAGCCAATCTCCCCTCCTCTCGGGGAAAGGAAAAGACAAGAATAAAGTATGACTTAAACTATTGTTCTCTGGTGAGTCATGCGAGGATCTGCCTTCTCCTTTTTTTTTTTTTTTTTAGGAAAACAAGTTTCACATCACTGAGGCGAGTGGAATGTGCGATTCTCACAAAGTTCCTGTGACAAGTCTCTGCTGAGACGCAGCACCAGCTCCCTGCTTAATGGCATCATTATCCTCAGGAACAGAGGGGTCAGGACGGCTGTACCAACGGGACAGACACAGCGACTGGGAGTCACTGCAGTCCACACCCCCTGCCAGTGCAGGACAGATGCCTGCCTGCTCCGAAGCCGGTACCTGGCTGTTTGTGACCCTTCCTCTACCTGTATGGAGCCAGTGACAGGCCTCCACCGACAGGGGCTCCTAAGCAAGGGGCTCCAATGGGGAGGGCACCCCACCCTCCCCACTGCTGCTGGTGGAGAGCTCAGGAAAGGAGCTGGGCCGGCTCAGTGTCGACGCTTCCTAACATCTTTTAATTAACTCCCATCTTAAGTAATGACGATAAAGCTTGGCCTGGAAATGCAAGCCAAGTACGTAAACTTGAAAGTAATTATGACACAAACAAACAAACAAACAAATGACTAGGTTAGGTACTAGCAGGGTGCCACCATAACCCAGGGGCGCTGGAAACTATTGAATGAGTGAGTGAGTGAATGAATGAATGAATGAATGAATGAATGAACCAACCAACCACTTCTTAGTAACATTCACTAGAGAAATTCCTATTAAGTTTCCTATTAAAAACGAGATGGCCCGCACATCCCACTCACAATCCCACTACCAAGGCCACCCAGCATTCCTGGGTTTCAGGGGCAGACTTTAAAATCTGTGACTCTGTGTGACCTTGTCACAGTTCACTAGCCTGAGAGGTTTTCCCTCACTCTACAGTCGTACGGAGCGGAGGCTGGGGCTCTGAGGGTCTGCTGTGAGAGCTCAGAGGAATGTGGGGCCCTCGCCTCTCCCTAGGCTTCCTTTCTGCTGTGGTCAGGGCAGGGTCAGCACAGGCAGAGAGACAGCATGAGCCATCCGGCCACAACTCTTGGGAGTGTTTCTTTGCAAAGAAAGCACAGGACAACTCAGCCACTCACAAAATAAACAGCGTTTATGAGCACACAAATAGGATCTTACGTAAGACAGGCTACTGCTTTCTGGAAACTGCGTAACAGTTGATCTGGTGGTCTCCGGAGACCCTATAAACAGGAACTGAGTTCCTTCATGGGATCCACATGACTAGTCTAGCATACACAGGAGTCCATGTTTACCAGCAACCTCTACCATAGACACACGGGATGACAATGTGTGACAGCTCCCACAAGACCAGGCAAAAACATGAGTTTACACATTTTCAAGTTATTAGCATAGAATGAATATATATATATATATATATATATATATATATATATATATACACACACACACACACACACATTCAGATTTCTGACCAAATCATTACTTTAAAAATAACTAAGTAAGGAGCTTCAAACATCACAACCTTATTTTTAAAATTCTATTTGCATAATTCTTGGGGAAATACCCCATGCTAATGCTGGAGTATTTCTTACAAAGATGCCTTTAACTTGAAAATGTCCAGACTCCAGATGTGAGTCGTACCTATGACAGCCAAACACATATATGATGGGCAGAGACCTGGAATCTCGGTTTTTAACTTTCTGAGTGTATTAAGGTAATGCTTAGTCACACACTCGCTGAAATTAATGCTTGAGTTTTCCAGAATATGACATGTGAGAGGCGTGTTCTTTCAGTTCAGCGGACACACATCTGAGGGGAATCATGTAGGAAACGTGACCCAAAGCCTATTAGCAAGATAGGTCATTGTGCTACCCTGGACCGTTCCAAACAGGCAGCATCAGACACAAAGGCTAAGCAACTATCACTAAACTCCTTACAAAACAGTAGCAAAGATGACAGCTCACATGCACAAATGGCTTTTTCCAGTATACGACAGCATTGGAAATGAGTCCCTGAATTGTTGAGTCATTATTCCTACGTAACAATGGGGGGCGGGGATGAGGCTTACGGGGTAGACTAAAATCCTCAAGTGATACCCACGGCCAGGATGGCAAGTGGATCACTTCCAGAGATGGACTTCTCAAAATGGCCCTCCCAGGCTGAGGGATGGCAAGATGATGCAGTGTCCAGGACACGATGGAGGAGGTGGCCACACCAGGAATTTTCCAACCGGGGTGTGAGACATACAATGTCCTTAGTGAATTTGAACCAGCCAGATCTATGCTTCCCTCGGGAATCACAAGGTGCTGAGAGCCAAGAGCCAAACCCCTGTGAGGGAAGAGGCCAGGGGGCCGGAGGAGAGCGCTGTGTGCACAGGAGGGTGGGCAGGGTGTCAATCATGGATGTGTCTGTCAGCTGGGGCCAGCCCTTTAATGCTGAGCTTTAAGGAATAACTGCGATGTCCCTTCATCTTGACCTCTGCATCCGTCCGTCCGTCCACTCCAAGGACACCAGTTACCGTGTAGACTCAAGGTACAGGAATGACGCGTTGTGTGGACCCAAGGTACAGGAAACACAGCGCACTGTTTACCCAGCCTTCCATGTCTCTCCTCCCTCCTTCCCTTCCCTTCCTTTCTCTTGTATCTGAATGTGTGTTAAAGGGAAAGTATTTCCCCCCAAAAGTCACACAACTGGAGAGGACAGGATAAAGTACACGAGAGGGGGGCAAGGGAACACAGATATCCTAGAACAGAAGACACTAGGGGCTGAGGGTCTGGCCTCAGTGTCAAGGGCGGTGAGAACCGGGCCCTGCCTCCCTGGACTCAGCCCACCTCACCACCCAGCTCTCAGGGGCGCACCTGGGGTCAGGCCTGACGCATTGGTAAAAGGCAGCCATCTTCCTGAGCGCGCAGCGAGCCTCTGGCTCTCTCATCCTTCTGGAAACTAGCAGCAGGGAGAGGAGTGGGCCTCCCTGCCCACCCGCGAGGGGCTCGGGGCTCTCAGGACACCACGGGGCACGGGGCACAAGTTCTCGTCCCTGCTCCCCCAGCAACTCCTCTGAGCCATGAGGAAGTGGGGCTTCTGCCAAGCGCGCTGCGCCGCGGAGCTCCTTGGGCAGGTGTGCAGGCACAGGGCAGGCACAGCCTTCTGGAAAGCACAAGCACTTCCTTCTCCCGAGGGCCAGGAGTGGGGGTGGCCTGACTCCTTGCGGAGTTGGCACCTGCCTCACGGGGACTGGAGTTACTTCTGCACCGCAGAGAACAAAACACAGCAAGCTCCGGGGCACTGTGTCACCGTGCTCCCCAGGGAAGTGGCAGAGACCGAGGCCAGGACCCTAACCTCTGCGGGGAATGAAGCCGGTCCAAACAGGCTCCTCCCCTCGGCTATCCCCAGGGAACCGGAATTCCTCCGGGAGCCCCACACTGTGGGAAGGGAAAGGCTGAATGAAGCCTGTGCCAACCCGAGAAGGAATTTGTCCCCCAGGAAGAGATTTCACAGCTCTGCCAACTCAGATCACCTCGCGGGCGGGAGAGAATGACAACTCAGTGATGGGCAGGGCCACACCCTGGTCAGGACCCCTGGGCCTCTATCTACTTAAGCCTAAATCTCCTATCAGGACCCTGAAGAGGGACTTGGGAAGGAGCTGGATGACTGGGTCTCTGTGTTCTTCCCAGCATGGCCGCTATTTTTCTTCATTAACTTATGTGTTCGGTTGGCTGACTGAGGGCAGGGTGTCCCAGCCCAGCCTGTCAGGGCTAATGGCCCAGGCTCTGACCCTAACAACTCTCCATTCGAGGAAGGCCAGGGCTTGGGAAGAAAAAGAGATGGAATGCGGAGAAAATCTAAAACGCACTGGGGATTGAACCGCTCCCACTCTGGCACCTGAGCCACACCGTCCTTCCTGGTACCACCAGGTCCACGCTGCAGAGCTAGGGGCCGTGGTGTGGGGCAGGGACATGCTTCTCTCCACCCCTGCACGCCGCTCCTCCCCAGCCTCCCCTCCAAGCTTATCATGATTTCTTGGGCCCCACACGTTTTCAAACTACTTTTCCCGGGGCCTCCCAAATGCTGCTTGTAGCTGTGTACAGGTTAACTCCGTTCCGTGTGTCTCTGAAAGCACCCCCCATCCAGCCCGGCTGTAAGTAGTCCGCCCCGGCAGGTGCATGGTCACGCCCACCCAAGAAGTCACCGGTGCCAGCCTCTCTGGCTGGGATCTCTGCCTCTCCCTGTGACAAGGCCAAGAACTTAGTGACATCCTCTCTGCCTACCTGCAGCTGCCACTTCAAAATAATAGACTCCAGCAACCAGCCTAGCAAGGTCTCAAGTTCAGCGGAGACTGACTGCCTCGGGCTGCTACAGTCAGCAGTTTCTAAGCGACATCTCGAGTGTTGCCAGAAGGGGCTAGGCAACTGATGAGTGTGGGGTGTGACTCTGTGTTATTAAAATCCAGGCAACACTGTGACTTCTGAGGGTGGTTCTAAAAAGAAATAAGTCCGTCTACTTTCCAAAGTCGCTTTATACAGGGCTCTGGCCCAGACGTTTACAATCTAAAGGGAAAATGGGGACAGGAAGAGTTAAGGGTGACAAAAGACAGTGGACGCCAAGGGCTGTGGAGATCATCTATCCCCTCTTCTCTCCATGAGGGGCTGCGTCTGCAAGCCTGCTGGTTCCATCTCTCCTGCCTTCCTGTAGGGAGGACAAGCTGGCAGACATCCCCTGTGTCCCGGGATGCGGCTCAGGAGCCCGTGCAGCTGGGCGAAATGACTTAAGTGACAAGGCCAGGACCTTAGGCCTGCTGCTCCCAAGGCCCAGTAAGAGTTAGCAGCAAAGCAGGCCCAACCACCAACCACAGGGCAGCTCCACTGGCGATTCCACACTCCAGAGCCGGACAGACTGAGTTCGGGGGCCTGTGCGGGCCCCCAGATAGAATGGCACTGTCAGGGGCTGTGGCCTTGTTGGAGGGCGGGATGGGCACGTTCCCGCCATGATGACAATGGACTGAACCTCTGCAACTGTAAGCGAGCCCCCTCAATTAAATGTTTCAATGTATAAGAGGTCATGGTCATGGTGTCTCTTCACAGCAACAGGGACCGCAATTAAGGCTGACCACCATGCCACTCGCCTGCCCTGGGCGTGACCTGCCCTCTCTCAGGCGCCCCGAAAGTGCCTCACCACCACCACAGCTTTGGCATCCAGAACAGTGGACCCAGCACAGAATGACCCAGGAAGGGATGTGTGGCGTGCTGTGGCTGTACCTCTGCATGTCCAAGGATCACGCTTCCCTGAAGAGCAGGAAGGCAGATGAGAGACAGGCCCTAACCAGGCCCTCGCAAGCTTCTGCACACATCTCCACCTTCCCCAGCATGCTCTCTGTGGCACATTTTACATGGCTGCTCATTTTTTAGCCAAAGTACCCAGGAATTACTCTTTTTTGCTTTTGTCCCAACGTCCAAGTCATGTTTCTCTGGGATGGAGACTAGTAATACCCATGAGTTTCTCTGTATTGTTTTTGTGCCTGTCCTGGCACTCACTCTGTAGACCAGGCTGGCCTTGAACTCACAGAGATCCACCTGCCTCTGCCTCCTGAGTGCTGGGATTAAAAGCATGTGCCACCAATGCCTGGCTCCATGTGTATTTTTTTTTTATAATACAATTTTTAAACTACAACAGAAAATCTTTTATGCAAAAATATCTAAAGTTTTCATAATAGGGCCTCTGTCTTGGCCCATTTTCTCTTTCTATAACTGAATAATACAGTGGATAATTTATAAAGAATAAAGGTTCATTTACCTCGGAGCTCTTCTGGGAGCTTCAAGGTTGATTGGGGAGGGGGAGGCTGGGGTAGGGGCTCTGAAGAATCTTGAACAGCCTAGGATATCACACTGTGAGAGGGACACACAAGACAGAGCCAAACTGGCGTTTGCTTGTTTATTTTTGAGACAGGGTTTCTCTGTGTAGTCCTAGCTGTCCTGGAACTTGCTCTGTAGACCAGGCTGGCCTAGAACTCTCAGAGATTTGCCTGCCTCTGCCTTCAGAGTGGAGGATTAAAGGCATTCGTCATCACACCTGGCTCAAACTGGCTTTTATAATAACAGAAGCCATGGATAGGTCAATTCATTCTTAAAGACCTTGCCTGCTCATCTCTTTCTCTGTGTCTTTTATTTTGCAAGTGTCTCTGTGTGCTGGTATCTGCATGTTTACATGTACAGGTATGTGTGTGTGCACACATGGGTGTGAGGGTCATGGTGCTGTGATTGTGCATACATGGGGGCCATGTATATTGAGGAAGGGTCTCTTGTTCTAACCCAGAGCTTACAGATACAGCTAGTTTAGCTATCCAGATTGTCAATTTGTCTCCAGTGCTGTGATACAGGTAGGCCGCCACACCCACCTGGCACTTGGGTTTCCAGGGATTCGAACTCCAATCTTCATGTTTTTGAGGCAAGTGCTTTACTACTAGGCCAGCTCCCCAGCCCACACACTTTTTAATGCCTCACAATGGAGATTAAATTTCAACTTGAGTTTTGGTGAGGACATTCAAATCACAGTAACACTCCAGGCTCCCTGGGATCGATTTACTTAGGAGGGTTATCACAAATGAAGCAGGTCCCTCTCACCCAACGCTCACACCCACCACGGGTTCAAGCTTTGGCTCAGTATTATTACAAGATCTTTGTAATACAGGGTCTTTGAGGTCGGGCAACTAGTCCAAGGTCACTGAGACCGTAACTAAAACTCTGATGCTCAAATCAAAGTTCATATATCACCCAAGTGTGCGGCTGTCCTAGGATGGCAGCTACTTGCTAAGAAACACTGGTCAAGAGCCTGAGGGATTGGTCAAGTTCCACCCCTCTGGGGCTGGCAATCAGGCAGACTGTAGCACAAGTCTTTCCCATCCCATCTTCCTGTGGTAGTCATTTCTCCTCTGGGCCATTTGTCCTAAGAGACAAACAAAGGAGGGGACTCATCCTACCCCAGGGATTCGGTGTTAAAATCCGTTGTGGGAAAGTGCCCACGGTAAATTGTAAGGAGGGCAACAATGTTGCTTCTGAACGTGAGTTTCATCATCCAAGAGTCCGAAGAACAAGGATTCTCTTCTAGTCACATCGGGCTGAGCCCTGGGGCCCTTGATTTCTGAGATCCTCCCAGGCGATGTTGAGGACACTGCCCACACTGATGACAGTGTGCCACAAGGTGGTACACGAATAACCCATTTTTATTACAAAGAACATTCTCTCGGGCGGAGGTGTAGCTTAGTAGCAGACCCCAGCATGCATGGGGACTCTGGGTTCAGCGCCCAGCTCTGAAAAAATGAATAGTCTGTACCTACAAGGAAGGAAGTGGTAGGCCGGAGTCACGCCTGGGTCCTGGCCTCACACTGGAAATGCTCACTGTTTCACTAGGTTGTGTCAGTTTCCCCACAGAGTGTATATTTTTGTTCATAATTAGAATATGTAAGATGAGTCAGTTTGGAGCTGAGTTACTTTCCCTCTCCGGGGCTCTGTTCCCTCCCTCAGAAGTCCTTGGGAGGCTGTGAGGATCCAAGGATCTCCTGTGTTTGCGTTTCCAGCCCGTGCCTGACACACAGCGGGGACTGTCGGCCTTGGCCCTCCACCATCGGAGATGACAAGCCATTTCTCTTGTGTTACCAAAGTCTTTTTTGCACAGGCTTCCTCATCTGTCTCCATACTGTCTCTGCCCCAGAGCTGAGGAGGAAGTTAAGAGCTTACAGCTCTGCAAAGGAGCCAGCGTGCCCAAGGCAGCCAGGAAGCTTCCAACCCAGCCATTCTGCACACCCCGTCCCACACTCTGTCTAGCGGGCGGAAACAGGGCCTCACCCAGAGCGGCCTAAGATAACAATGCAGCCTCAGGGTCCAGCCATCTGGAAAACAAGCCGAAGGAGCCTCACATCATGAACCTCTAAGCAAATGGAACCCTCTGAGGAACCCTCACTCATGCATGAATTCCTAGGCATCGAAATGTGCTTTTCCTTGTGCGAAATTCTGAATGTTCAAGCTGTT